AGGGCCTCTTGCCGAAGCCCCCGCAGACACCGACTCCCCCTGATCAGGGTCGAGGAGACGGCCGACACCCTCTGCATTCGGCAGAGCCCCCCAGCCGTCTCTTCTCTTTCCTGTTCATATGCGTTTGAGGGGGTTTGTGCATCGCAAGTCAGGGGCCCGTGGCCAGTGGGACACCGGCAGCAGCTGAGGGCGCCGGGGTCCGCCCGCCGGGCCGTTATTTCACAGGGTCTCCCGTGGTCTGGCGCTCACGCAGCCCCACGCTCTCGTCCGGGCACCTCAGCCGGAGGCGCTCGGTTTTCCGAGAGCTGAAGGTTTTCCGAGCCCCGCTACCTCCCTGCACCCCAGCTCTGTGTCAGAACTCAGAGCCAGGTGTTCTAACTCCGAGCACTTCCAGAGAGAGGTCTTGCCTGGGATGCATCCTTCCACGAGCCGCTGGGGAGGCCGGGCGGTGGTGGCGGTGGGCACCGGGGCAGCGGGAGGCCGGTCGGGGTGCACAGCCGAGGGCGGGGCTGGCTCCGTGAAGCCTGCACTCGGGTCTTGCCTCGAAGACAAGAAGTCCACACGCAGCCCCACGCCTGCCGTCCACCTGACCTTGGCCTAAGGACCACTGCGCGCTGCGGAGCAAGGCTAGGCCTTTCTGTAGGTGGTCAGAGCAGGCGCCACGTGGGAAAAAGGAAGCCGCGGCTTCTCTCAGACCGTACGCAGTTCGGCTCCCGGGGGCAGTGAAGACACATGAAGCCTCGGAGTGAAGCGCAATGGTGGCCCCGCCGCGCCCGCCACCCACTGCCCACTGCCCACTGCCCCTGCCACTGCCCTCTCCCCACTGCCAGCGCCTGGAGGCCCAGCGGGCCCCTGCTCCCCCAGGATGGCCCCCAGCGACCCCCGCCCGGCGCAGGCTCTGCGACCCCGTGCGCCGTCCCCTTACACTGGTCCAGCATTGGTCTGTGTGACCAACAGCGTGTGGCACACTCATGGTATGTCACGGCCACGACGAGGTCACGCGGCCTCCGTGCCGAGCGGGTTCTCTCTCCCTCCCTCCTGCCCTCCGTCTCTCTCTTCCTCCTTCTCTCTCTCCATCCCTCTCCCTCTCTCTCCGAGCCAGCTGCCACGAGTGAGCGTGGAGAAGCTGAGGCACACTCTCCAGCCTTCCATGGCAACTCATTGTAGCCTCACATTAGAACCGGGGCCTGACAGCCAGACCCGGCTTGTCCACACGTCCTGCTAGCATCCTCCCTGGGAGCGGAGATCATGCACGTTCAATGGAAGTAAACCCCAGATGCCGAAGGTTGGCTCCAACCCTCTGCCGACCCGTGAGGCCCATCTCCTCCAGCTCGCCCCTGACAAAGGAGGAGACTGGGGTCCCCGCTGGTGAGGGACACGAGGCAGGGAGGACACTGAGCTCCTAAACAACGGAGGTGTGAGCATTTCTGAGCTTTCCGATGCGGTGGCCTGGCTCTGGGCGGCCGTGGCCGGGGGGGACGCCCCCAGCCGACACCCTAACCACCTCGGGCGAGTGGCCGCCCTGGGGGCGTCAATGTCAGTGTCCGTCTCGGGAGAGGGGCCGCTCCCGGGGTGGGCTCCTGGCTGGCCTTTCTCCTCCTGCCTTCCCTGCCGGCCCTGCCCCGGCCTTCGGACGCCCATCTCTCCGGCCCTGTCCCTGCCTCGCAGTCACACCCTCCTGACCACCATCCTCATCTTTCTCGTCTTTCCAAACTGGCCCCTCCCATTCCCCTGAAGCCGGCATGGGAATGCGCAGGTGGGTGGATTCCGAGCGAGGCTTCAGGCATCACGATGCAAGGGCGGGGGGCGGGCGAGGCCGCTGGCTGGAAGCACATCCACCCGGCAAACAACCCCGCTTATCACGTGCCGATCTCATCGGCAGTTATAAAAGCCTTTGATTCAAAAAATAAAAAATAAAAAACAATGGAGAGATGAGTTGGTCGTGACTTAATGAACCCGCAGTTTCAGAGTGTGGGGTTTTTTGTGGGTCTCTGCTGGGAATGGACTGGCTCTGGGCCGGCCCGACCTCTGCCAACTCGCATGGCCTCTGTGAAGACCCTGTGAGTGCGAAGCTGACACTATTGTCAACTCCGATTTGCAGGTGAGGACCCTGAGGCTCAGAGAGGTGAAGGCCACACAAAGAGGAGGTGGCGGGTCTGGGACTGGAGCCTGCTGGTTCCAGGGTCCACACTCTGCGCGCTGTGTTCTCGTGCTGGAGGAAAACTTGGGACTTGTTCAGACTTCGCCGTTTAGGCACATCCGCCTCTAACCACCTCCATCTCTGCCCGTTGCGCTTCTGCCCTTCCTGGTTCTTGGGTGAAGCCTTTCCCTTTCCCCCCCTCCTCTGAATCCTGCTGGCAATCGTGCTGCCCGTCACGTCTACCTGTCCCCTCTGGAAGGCAGTGGGCAAGATGGGGGGTCGTGGGCACCTGCAGAAGGCACTCGCCAATTTGGCCAGGAACTATGTCTCTTTTAAAAAATAAAAAGTATTTTTTCCACGCGTTATTTCTCAGGTCTCTAGGGGGAAACCTCTGGAGGACAGACCACAACTCAGGCATGTTTGGTCCCCATCCCGCTGCCCCCCAAAGAGCTGACGAACAGGGCCGGACTCAAACCAAGCCCTTGGCATATAAAAGGATCCGACTGCCTATTTAAGGAGCCGCAAAGCCCTGCCATCCCTCTCCCTCTCTCTACCTCTGGCGGGTTGAATGGTACCCCCCACCCCCCAAATAGATGTCCACCACCTAGCCACCAGAGCCTGGGAACACGACTTCATTCGGAAATAAGGTCCCTGCAGTTACAATCAAGTTAAGGATCTTGAGACGAGACCATCCGGGATCATCCAGGTGGACCCTAAATCCAATGGCAAGTGCCGTTCTCACAGACAGAAGACACCCAGAGGAGAGGCCGAGGGAAGGGGGAGGCAGAGAGTGGATGGGCGTGTCCACAGCCAAGGGACACCCGGAGCCCCAGCAGCTGGAAGAGGTAGGAAGGACTCTCCCCGGAGCCTCAGGAGGGAGCGAGGCCCTGCTACACCTGAGATTCAGACTCTGGTCTCCAGACTGTGGAGAATAAATGTCTGTCCTTTTAAGCCCCCGGTTTGTGGGCCTTCGCTGTGGCAGCCTTGGGACTCGCCAAGGCCAAAGAAAGTGAGGCTCGTGCTGGAGGGAGGACCACCCGCCCCGTGGAGCTCAGGGAACCTTAGCCCACTGGCCCAGCTGCAGCGCGGACGTTCCGTTTTGCTTGAAAGCTTTCCAGAGGGTGCTTCCAGCTTCGCCTTTGGGTTAGCAGGGGACTAGACACCTCAGTCGAGAGGGGCAATGGACAATGGATGCCCAGAGTCCCGGGGGCAGGAGGGCGCCGTCCAGGCTGGCGGGTCCAGGAACCCTCTCTCCCCAAGAGGCTACAACTGTACCTGGTGTTTAAACCAGCCTCCCCGACCCCTCCACGACCCTGACTGCGGCAACACCCCAAGGGCAGGCTGCGTCCTGCTCTGGGCCGACCACGGTCAGCAGCTTCAGCCTCGGTCTCTCTCGTGGTTTTTGACAATTATGCCTCTTTCCTGACGCTATGTCACTGGCCCACCTTCGGCCAACTTCGCCCACAGCTCCTCTCCTCTTGGCCTGAGCAGACAGCGGCTCCTTTGTGCAGTAAGGTGACATGCTCTGGGCCCCATCCACCCAGAGACCTGGGCAGTACTGTAGGCTCTCAGCTCTCTTCCACCTGTAGGACCCAGCTCGCTGACCCTATCTGTCCCTCATGCTTACATCGACATTTATGCTCTTAATTAATGTGCTTCCTTTTTTAATCAACTTTTTTATTCTCTGTGCAGGGTGAGAAGGAAGAAGATTAATGTGGTTAAGCTTTTTAAAAATGCATTCATAAGTGCTTTCTAAGATTTAAATCTCACATCCACACAGCTCACAAGTCAGCAAATAAAAGTGAGTTTATAGACCATGAAGCCGTTTTTAAACTTCTCTTTCTGAATATAAAGCGAAATGTTTAATTAATTCCACATACAGCATGCATCACATGGCCTTCATTCTGCATGAGAACAAATACATACATGAATGAAAACATTTAAAATGCCTTGATGTATGCCAGGCCCTATGCTAACTGCTTCACGCGAATTACCGTAATTACTCTTCCCTGCCGCCTTGGGAGAGGCACAGTCACCTCCCGCTTCACAGATAGGGACAGAGATTTGCCCAAGTTGCACAGCTACTGGCAGATGTAGGTCTGTGTGTGACACTCTCGTCCAGTTCCACAAACATGGTTGCAAATTTCCCGACATCTTGAGAAAGAAGTGACTTGCTAGTGCATGAATTCTTGAAAAAGCAGATTTTTATCCCGATCAGCTTGAAAGGCCTCCGGAACTGTTCTGACGGTGCCTGTGACAGAGAGGGGCACAGCGCAACATTTCAGGGTGTGGGTCTGACGGCTGCCAATGCCGTGAAGGAGATGAGGGTGCAGACATTAGCGAAGGCTTTTTCTCTAAACCCTCCCGGAGACGGGGTTCAGAGCAAAGGGGCAGGCTTCCCTTACACTGCGGGGCTGGCGGGGACCAGGCTAGAGCTGTTCCCAGCAGCCTTCCCCGCCCCCACCCCCATCCTGTCCCCCAGCGATGGCTGCAGCACTCTGTCCAAGCCCCGATGCCTAGAGGTGGCAGCGTGAGGAGGGTTTTCAGGATTCCTCTGACCCAGCCAAGCCTGGGGGCATCACCATGGGCACCATGAGGCAGAGGAGGGCATCCTATTGGTTAAGGCCAGCTGCTCAGGATGCGGTGATGCGCTCCATTCTTTATCTGGGGCTGACCCTCTGAGAAAGGGCCCTCCATGACTTTTTAAAACATAGTGATCGCCAGCTTATTGGCGCTGGCCTCTGTGCTAAGTCCCTCCAGGGTTCTGCTTCCTAGCTGCCCCTGGTCTGAGCCACAGACCGAACTTGAATAATAAAGAAAAGAGAAGAAAACAGTCAGACAGCTGCAGCTCCTCTTTGGCTCTCTGTCACTGCTGGGAAGTCATAATGGTCACCGGTCCGGTTCGGTCACGTTCCTCAGATAGTCACCCTATTTGCGGATAGCAGTGAGTCCTGGGCACGCTTCCTGCCTGTCTTTACAAATGAATATGCCAATTCGCCAACACTAAAACGCTCCTTTAAAAAGTACGCCCCATTCATACGCCCGGAGTGGCCCGGAGTGGACCGACCGGGCACCGTGGCGGGACCCTGCGTCTGCGCTCCGCGTCCTGGGAGGTCCGCATGCGCTCCGGGGCCGCGGGTGCGCGCCTTCTCCAAGCCTTACGGTAAGCGCGGCGCACAGAGCAACCACGTGGCGGCAGAACCGAGGCCGCGCGGGAATGCGCGGAATGCGCGGAGCGGCCCCGCGCTGCTCGCGAGCCAAGGCCCTGGTGCCCGCAGCGCGCGCTCTGGCCTCTCCTCTCTCCCCTGCCCCGCAGCACCCCAGCCCCGGCCCCGTCGCCCAGGACCGCAGGGGCAGGTCGAGCCCTGCATTAGCACGCGGGCGAGGCTTGGAAACCGAGCGCGGCCCATCCGGCCCCTCGGACCTCAGGCGCCCATAACTCCCAATGGGTCCAAACCCGTGTCCCGCCACCGGTCCCGGCGGTGCGAGGCCGAGGGGCGCAAGGGGAGGATTGCAGGGCGTTAGGTATGCAAGCACCCTCCTCGCACCTGAAAAAAAGTCCCTCCCCCGCCCCTCCTGGCAAGTTTCCAGGGCCCCAGAACTTGGAAGATCCCCATAATCAAGACCCCCCACCACTGCCGACCGTCCCTCCATCCATCCCCAGGGCGAAGGACAGAAAGTCGGGTGTTGCAAGGGCAGAACGAAGCCGACGAAGGCACCGGGATGCGGGGTCCTCCCTTTAGACAGTCTCCAAGCGACAAGTCCTACAGGCGAGGGAAGGCCTCAGTTTCTTCCCAGGGGGCACGGGAGCGCCGCGGGGTCAACGGGGGCCTTAGGGAGGGTCCTCCCGGAAGGTCCGGTTCCCTCCAGCGTGGCCCCGCGACTCCCCGCAGTACTGCTCGGAAGACGCCGGACGGACATGGCCTGCTGGGTCATTATCCCACACACACACACCCCACCCCGCCTCCCGCCCGATTTGCCTTAGTGTAGGTGGTCATCTTCTCAACCTGGGCGCCCGCTCCGCTGACACTTGGTCAGCGACAGGCCAGGAACATAGCCAAGAGGCCAGGAACCTGCCGGTGGGGTTGGGGTTTTGTGTTACTCAGGCATCAGGTGATGCGTTTTGAGAGACGGAGGTCAGGAGTTAGGACCTTTCACCCCCCAAAGTGCACCTTCTCCCTCGGAATCCCGGAGGCAGGGGAGCCAGCCCCCCAAGCCTGTTGGAGGGTGCTTTTTAACTCCCGCGCGCACCTCGCCGAAGGCCTTCAGAGCTGCGGAGGGGTGTCCAGCAGCCTGCCAGACAGACGACCGGGGCTCGGGGGACGGGGGTAGTCTGTGTGTGGCTGAAATTAATTGATCAGAGGCGGGAACGCACCTCCGCCAGGGGCGGTGGGAGGTGCGGCTGCCCCGGTGCCCAGCTTGTGACAGTCCTGGGTGGGCGCCAGGGTCAGAGGCCGCAGCTTTGGGGCGCGGGGGATCCGCACCGCCTAGGCCGGGCCGAGCTACCGCAGCATGTAGACCGCCATGCGCGCCCCGAAAGAGAGCAGTGTAGGGGAAAGGGAGCCCTAGCGTCCCCGGAACCCCGCGGCCCTCATTCGGAAGCGTTTTCCAGGACTTAAGGGCTTAACAACGGAAAACTCGCGGAGCTGGAGCCAAGTCCTTTCAAGTCGCCGCCAGGTATGCGGCTGCAGGTGACCCCACTTGGATGCGCCCGCCCGCCCCCCTCCTCTGTCCTCACTGGGGAAGGCGGGTGCGGGAGTCCACATCGGTGGAAGATCTCCATTGGGCCCTGCACCCTCTCCCCAGAGCCCCGCGCCGGGCGGCGCGCAGCCGCGGTGCATCCCAGGGTCGGCGCCGCGGCGCGCCGGTTCCTGAATGAACGCGCTCCCTTCCCCCGCCTGAATGAAGGTTCCCACAGCCAGGGACGGTGGCAAACGCGCCTGCCGCGGAATTCGCCCTCTCCGGGCCGGCGATCCGCCCTGGCCGTGTCACCCCAGTGGGGGCCCAGGGGCCGAGGACTGCGGGAAGGTGATGGAAGTTACTTTTGCATTTCCTTTCCAACCAATGTGGTTTCCCTCCCGATTGGGCCGCTGGCCCTTTGTCTCCAAATGGTCACCAAGAAATAAGCGCAGAGCACTTTAAATGAGCCCAGAATTCGCAGTTCCTGGTTCATGGTGGGTTTTTTAAAGGCAGTGCAAAATTAAAACTGCAACAGAAAAGTTTTTTAAAGTTGCTTTCCTCTTCGAAAAACAATTAAAATCAAGATGCGTCTTCTACTCTCCTAAAAGCTACAGCTCTCAAGGGCTCTCGGGGCCGTCGGCCCCCTCCGGGGCTCGGAGGAACGCAGATCTGGGCTCCCGGGTGGGGGCTGGGCGGCCGGCGCTCCCCGCCGGGCCCCACATTCCAGCGCCTCCCCCTGCGGGTTCCTGGACGGTTCTTCACGCTCACTGGCGGGGCTTGCACTTTTGCGCCCGTCCCTGAGCGGGGAAATCAACGAAGTTCCTCGTTGAGATCTGCCCGGTCCGCCTAGTAACAACGCCGCGCCCCCATTGGCTCATGCTAATTCCAGTTTCCTCTGCCTTTCTCCCGGGTTGGGGGAAAGCTCCCTCCTGGACCCGGAGCCCGTTTTACCGGAGTGGGCGAGCCTCTTTTTGCCCCGCTGCCCCCCACGGTGTCCGGCCCGCCTCGGCCGGTCAGGGACGCACGCAGGGCTTGAGCCCTCCGGGACAGAAGCCGCCGGGCGATAGCGCGCAGCCCCATAAATCATCTGGCGGCCGCCCGGTCGGGATTTTATGAATGAAAAAGCAGCCCAGCAGCCCTCGTGCGCCGGCTGATGCTGCGAGGCTCGGCGTGCCCGGGGCCAACGCGAGCGTGGGTGCCCGGGAAGGGGGACGCGGCGGTGGATGCTCCCTATTCGGGCCACCCACGGCTTCCAAGGCGTGAGCCGGGGGTCATGGACCCGGAATTTTAGTAACCCTAATTCCCGGCGGGGGAGGGGCCGCGGGAAGAATCAACCCTAAAAGTAGGGGTGTCTTGCCTTGGTGCTTGCGCCCTTGAAAAAGGGAGGGGGCTTTTTTGTCGGTTTTCTTTGAGCCTTTACTGCTAGGGGATACGATGGTTTGATGACACTAAACTGTATTCAGAGGAAAGTAAATGAGCAGTTTTCTTAATTTAAGGCAGGTAGAATAAAACCTAAAAAATATGTTAAGGTAGGGTAAAATGTCCTTTTTTTTTAAAAAAAAAAAAAAAAAAGCACTGACCGAATCTAATAATAAAACATTTCATGTATTCTTTTATGTCTCTTAAGTTTGCAAAAAATATTAGAGACCCTCTCGTATAACCACGAACATATACAGATTTTGTTTAAAACGATCAGATCAATACATCCATTTCCTTAATTTATAATTGTTCTCATTTTTATCATCCCCTGCCACCCCCGCCTCAGGCTCATAAATGCAGCCCAGGGCAGATTCTTAAGGTGAAAAGATGCCCACACCTCCAACAGAACCAATTAGGAAGCTTCCGGTGGTCTTGTCCCAAGCAGAGAGGCGACTGATATTTCCAGCGACTTAATTCACTTTTTAATTTAAAAATGAGACAGGACAGAGACCACTGTCCCGCTGCCTTCCATTCAGGGTGTTTTTCTAGCATTTAAATTGTCGGGAGGGGTGGGTTGGGGTTTGGGGACCCCTGCAAGGATGGGCTGGCCAAGGTAGGAAGACAGCCCGCAGATCCCCCGGGAGAGAAAGACAGGATGAAGGAAATGCCGGCCACCATCTTGGGCTGCTGCTGGAATTTTCAGGCATTTATTTTATTTTATTTTATTTTATTTGTTGAGCAAGCGCACGCTAGACCGAAATCTCTTAAACGTTTAGGGTTACCCCGCTGGGCGTTTGCAACGACCCCCCTGTGCGCCGGAACGAAGCCTCCGGCGGGGTTCTGGGCTCTGTCCCGCGTCTCTGAAGGTTAAATGGTTCCTAAAATTTACACGTGTTAATGAAAATGAAAGATGTAGACGCTGGGGTTCCTTGGCCGCCTCTCCGCCCGTGGGTGCCCTCGTGGCGTTCTCGGAAACGCGCCCATTCTCCCGGCTCGAATATAGGGTGTCGCCAAGTCCGGAGAGTCCCCCCCTCCATGCGGTCTCCCCCCAGCTGCGTGTGGCCTGCCCGCCCTCCTAGTTGTCCCCCTCTGCAGTCACCTCCACCCCACCCCCAAATACCGGGGGACCCACTCCAAGAGAAAGGCCCCCCCCGCACCCCTCTTCCACGGCGGGGAGAAAGGCCGCCTCGGGGCGATTTGCATTTCTATGAAAACCGGGCTCCGGGGGCCACTCCACCGCGGGGCTCTGCCCCTCGTCGCTCCCCGGCGCTCGGCGCCCGCGCCCCCTCCCCCTGAGCCCGCCCCCCCTCCTATTCTCCGCCCGGCTTTGATCTCCGCTGAACAGTAACGTCACACGGACTACAGGGGAGTTTTGTTGGAAGTTGCAAAGTCCTGGAGCCTCCAGAGGGCTGTCGGCGCTGTAGCAGCGAGCAGCAGCGTCCGCGCGCTCCAGAGAGGGGGCAGAAGAGCTCGAGGGAGCGCAGGGCGCAGCAGCCGAAGCCGAGCGCGGACCGAGTCCCGACCCGCCGTCTGCCCCAGGCCGCCCAGCAGAGCCCCAGCCATGGCACACCAGCTCCTGTGCTGCGAGGTGGAGACCATCCGCCGGGCGTACCCCGATGCCAACCTCCTCAACGACCGGGTGCTCCGGGCCATGCTCAAGGCGGAGGAGACCTGCGCGCCCTCGGTGTCCTACTTCAAGTGCGTGCAGAAGGAGATCCTGCCGTCCATGCGGAAGATCGTGGCCACCTGGATGCTGGAGGTGCGGGGCTTCCGGAGGCTCTCCGAAAGGCTTTTCCTGCAACTTGTTGCCCTAACTCACATTTCTTTGCCGCTCATCTCGCTCCCCTTTCCCCACCCTAACTTTGAAGTTTGCCGGGGTCGTTGCTAGGGGCCGTGATTTTAAAATATATAGATGTAGTGGGTATTTTTTTTGAACGAGGACGGGGTGGGGGCGTTAGAAATTCCCTTTCCTGAGGGGGGGGGCGGAGCGGTCGGGAAGGGGTCCCTTCGGGGAAAAGCAGTGCCAGACGTACCCCAATTAGCTCGAGGGTGCGGGCCG